AAGAAGCTCATTAAGAGGTAGGAGCCGCGGAGAATTAAGAGCAGACTCCCTATACTAGTCTTTTAGGGAGAGAAGACTTGAAAGAAGTCCAGAAGTTGGACCTTCGAGGCCATACATTCCTTACTCCTACAAAAGGCAAGTTTATTCTTGGGTTCTATGAGTGTTTGATTGATTTGTTACACAGACTAGGCCTAAGGTGATCTAGACTGAGCCTAAAGAAGATTAGATGCCAAAGATGGTTAGACCACCTCTTATTGTGCCTAACCAGTGGTTTATGCTGAAGATCTAGAGAGTATGCAACCAGATTTGGTATGTATTCTCCCTAGATAACAAAGGAAAAAGATCTAGAGAAAATTCACCAATGATCAGAAAGAACTTCAAGACTCTATCAAGATAGTGCCAAGAAATGGCAGTGGTAGAGAGAAATGAGTGGATAAAGAGCACGCCAAGTACAATCGTGCTCAACAAAAGAGAGAACAATTGGCTCAAATTCATAATGAATTAACAGCCAAGGAGAATGTCAGTCTAGTAGGCCTCTCTAAAGCCATGATAGAAAGTGACTCTAAGTTTGAAGACTCAATATGCTAGCCAGATAGTTTACAAGAGATGGAAGATGGCTTGTTTGAAGCTGTGATGGTCGAACAGACTAAGCATACATATGTGAAATTGGTTACCCCCGTGGAAATAGAGGGAGGCCAAAGGTCAGAAAGTAGTTCAGAACCTTCGAAGGGGTAAGAAACACAAAGTGAGTCAATCTAAATCCAATTTGGCTCATTACATGCTATTCACATAAATATGTTCAAAGCAGATCCCAAACAATGGAGGAGTCTCTCTATTGAATAACGGGTGGAATTAGATGAAGAAACATCTGCCACAAAAACTGAAATGGTGGAGGAAGTAGATTTTGAAGATACAGTAGAGATGGAGGTCCAGGTGGCTACACCTTGTCACCCTTTTGAGTACCTCACTCTAAGGATGACTCAACATATCAAACCCTTGTATATCATGGCCCATTTTTTATGGTGTACTAATGAGTAAGGTTCTAGTGGACAATGGAGAAACAATCAATTTGTTGCCCAAAGCTTCGTTAAAGAGATTGGGTTTAAAGTATCTAAAATTAATCCCAGCCAACACCTCCATAGCAGGCTTCATAGGGGATAATTAGATGGCCCAAAGGATCTTACCAGTCAACCTCAATGTAAGATCTAGAAGCTGTGTAACAGCCTTTTTTGTGGTGGATGGCAAGGCTAAGTATAATGTCTTGTTAGGAAGTGCTTGGATACATACTAACAAGTGTGTGCCATCTTCATTTAACCAAAAGATCATAATGGCTTTGGGAGATGGAGAGATGGAAGAGATGCAAGCAAACCTGCAACCATTCACTGCCCATACAGATTTTGCAGAGGCAAAGCTGTATAAGCATGGTGTGATACTTTTGAGTGTGATGAAGGCTTAGGATGAGGCTGCAGAATATGCCACTGATGAATAAGTGGCTTATCTAAAACAGAGGACCCAAGATGGTTTGGATAAGCCAGCATGCAACAAAGATGAGTCAAATGATTAGCTCTAAATCAGGCACAACACAACAAGCCTTAGTGTTGGCTTCGAATAATGTATTGGCTCTAGATATTGAAGCCAAAATCTAGGAGGATGATATCTTTTGGGTAGATTTTGCCTATGAAGATGATAAAGAAAAGAATACACAAGTTAAGTTGCCAGAAGTACTAAGGGAATCTGAAATCATAGAGAGTTTGACAATTAATGATGAAGACCCTTTAGAAGAAGTAAATCTGGGTAAATGATCAACTTTGAATCCAACCTTTATCAATGCTTGGTTGGATCCAATCTCTAGAGCCAGGTTAGTGGCTTTGTTGAAAGAATATGAAGATTGATTTGCCTAGGACTACAGTGAGTTACCTGGGTTGGATAAGCAACTCATGGAACATAGGCTTCCTATCAAGTCTAACTTTAACCCTCATAAGCAGAAGCCCTGAAGGATGAGCCTAGAAGTAACTCTCAAAGTTAAAGAAGAGATTTCTAGATTGTTGAGAGCTGGTTTCATTAGAATGACCAAGTATGTTGAATGACTCTCTAATATTGTACCAGTTGTTAAAAAGAATGAAAAAAATGAGAGTCTGCATTAATTTTCGAAATCTGAATTTGGAAACACCCAAAGATGAGTACCCGATACCAGTGGTGGACTTACATGTGGATAGATTAGTCGGGCATACCATTTTGTCTATGATGGATGCTCATTTTGGGTACAACTAGATTTGTATAACTAAAGAAGATGTCCACAAGACAACTTTTAGGCGCCTAGGTAATTTGGGAACCTCTGAATGGGTAAAAATGCCTTTCGGATTGAAAAATGCTATGGCAACTTATTAAAAGGTCATGAATACCATCTTTCATGATCTAATTGGAGGATTCTTAGAGTGTTATGTTGATGACATTATAGTCAAATCTCAGTCCTTCAAAGATCATTTAGCTCATTGAGAAGTGTCATTCAAGAGAATAAAACATTACCAACTCAGGCTCAATCCTTTGAAATGTGCTTTTAGAGTATCTACTAGTAATTTTTTGGGGTATATGGCCCACAAAAGAGGAATCCAGATTGACAGAAACAAACCCAAAGCCATCATTGAAGCTACACCACTTACCAATAAGAAAGAGTTGCAAAAATTTCTTGGACAAGTTAATTTCCTTAGAAGATTTATTGCTAATACTACTGGTAAAACTAAAGTTTTTCTTCTTTATTGAAGCTTGAAGATCATGAGAATTTTAGATGGGATGCAGAACACCAAGTAGCCATTCAAAGCCGTCAAGAGCTATTTGGCTAAGCGTCCTATGTTGATGCCACCAAGGGAAGACAAGCCCTTGAAGTTGTACATAACAGTAGAAGAAGAGTCCATTGGAGTCTTATTAGCTCAAGACAATGAAGAAGGTAATGAACAAGCAACTTACTACCTTAGTAGGTTTTGGAATACTTTGAGAATATAAATACTCAGTTATTAAGAAATTATGTTTAACCATATATTTTGCTGCAATGAAAATGAGACATTACCTTTTACCTAGAGTTATACATGTGATTACTTCAACTGATTCAATTAAGTGCATGTTAACAAGACCTATCTTAAGTGGTAGGATTGCTAAATGGGTTTTAGCCTTGTCAAAATTTTGCCTCAAATATGTTCCTCAAAAATCAACTAAGGGGCAAGTTTTGGCAAACTTTCTTGCTAACCATCCATACCAGGAAGAACATAAAGAGCCAAATGATTAGAACATGGCCAGTATTGTGCCTTTGAAATTTCGATGGTTCGAAAGCTAGTGGTTTGGTTGGAATAGGAAATATAATCAAATCTCCAACAGGTGTGAAAACTGAACATGGTTTCAGAATAGACAAGACAGATTGTTCTAATAACCAAATTGAGTATGAAGCCTTGGTTATAAGGCTAGAATTGTTGCTAGGCTTAAGGGCAGAAGTTGTAGAAGTTTTGGAGATTCTTAGTTGGTGGTGAACCAATTAAATAGTATCTATAAGTACCAAAGTCGTGGTTTGTTACCTTATTATATGGTTGTTTTATACTTAAGCTCTCACTTTAAAGATCTGGTAATATCACACATCCCAAATTCGTGAATGAACAAACTAATGAAGTAACTCAAATAGTTTCGAATTACAGGAAAATGGAAGAATACGAAATGGTTTCATCTCAGGTTTCTTTCAGAAAGAGACTGTTACCCTTAGAAGAAAGATTGTTAGTAATGGAAGCTTATGCATTGGAAGTACCATAAAATGATTGGAGACATCTACTCATTCAAAATTTGTCAAGTCCAAACGCGAAGGCAACTTACACTAACGGTCTCTGTAATTTGTGTCTTGTGTCACTTTGGTCCATGACCTTTCAATTGTGATACATTTGAGTCTGAATTTTGAATCTCGTTCTAAATAAAGACAATTGAAGACACCGTTGCACTATTTTAAGGGCAAAGCCGCCAATTTGATAAAATATAAACTAGTTTGAGAAAAATAAATGTCAAAAAAATATTTTTAAAATTTTAAAAATTATTTCTACCCACCAAAGATAAAATTATATAAAAATGATAAATTTTTTACATTTTTATTTTTTTACCAAATTAATATTTAGTACTGGGTTGTTTTTGTTGATGCTTTTGGATGGTTATCATGTAATTAATATATGGTTGTATTTGTTGTTAGTAGATATTTTTGGATGGTTATCATGTAATGGATGGTTATTAGGTTTTTAATGGGTAATCGATATGTTTAATATATGAAATGTTTTTAGTTTTAGATTTTTTGATTTAATGGATTGGTTTAATAATGACATCAAAATTGTCACCATGTTTGACTTTTAAAAAATATAGAAACTGATTTAGCAAAAATAAATATAAAAAAAATTATTTTAATAAAGAAAGTTCCAACATTATTCATTAAAAAAAATGCCGTCACATTTCCAACAACATACAAGTTAACCAACACAAAATAAGTTGTATGACGACTTTGCCCTTGAAGTGGACCGTTTGCAAAGGAAACATCTTTGATTGTCCTTGTTTGGAACAAGGTTCAAAATTTAGTGTTAAATGTATTACAATTGAAAAGTCTGGAACCAAAATGACACAAGCCCTAAATTGCACGGACTGTTAGTGTAATTCACCCTAAGATCTATAAACTATATTTTATATGACAATAACCTCTATAAGAGAGGAGTAGATAGAATTTTGTTAGAATGTGTGGGGCCTAAGAGGCTAGAATAGCAATAGCTGAAGTTCATGAGGGCATTTGTGGTGCTCATCAGCCAGGAATTAAAATGAGGTAGCTATTAAGAAGGTATCTATGTTACTGGTCAAATATACTTAGAGACTACATAGGGTATGCAAAGGGTTGTTAGGCATGCAAAAAACATGAAATAATAAGACATATGCTAGTGGTTGAGTTGCATTCAATAATTAAACATTGGCCTTTTAGGGGATATGCAATAGATATGATTGGAAAGATTCATTTATCATCTTCGAAGCATCATTGTTTCATTCTAGTGGCCACAGATTACTTTACTAAATGGGTTGAAGCAAAACCTTATAAGTCTATAGATCAAAATAAAGTGATTAGCTTCATTGAAGATTTAATTCATAGGTTTAGTATTCGCCAAACTATTACTGTCAATAATGGAATAGTATTTGAAGGTGGTTTAGTGAGGACTTTTGCTGGTAACTTTTGCTGCTAATGGACAAAAAAAATCATCCAATAAAGCCATCAAGAAAGGAATTCAAAAGGTGATTGAAGATAATCCCATAAATTGGTATAATATAATACTCTCAGAGGTTCTATGGGCCTATAGGACTTCAAAAAGATCAAGCACTGGAGTTACTCCATTTGCCTTACTATATGGGCATAATGTTGTATTTCCAGTTGAGATTAATATTAAGTCCTTGAGAGTTAAAGCACAAGATTATTTTGACAAAAAGCAATATGGTCAAAGTATATGCATGGAATTAGAGGATATTGATGAAGCCAGAATGCTGGCTATAAACAAGATGCTAATCCAAAAGAGAAAGGCTGCAAGATGCTATAACAAGAGGGTACATCATTAGAGTTTTGATGAAGGAGACTTATATGAAAAACCATATTGCCCCTTGGCATCAAAAGTCATAAATTTGGCATGTGGTCACCTAATTTGGAAGGACTATACCAAATTAACAAAGTACTTTCAAATGGTACTTATCATTTAAGGAACCTTAATGGTTTTATACATCAAAGAAAAATAGATGGTAAATTCTTAAAAGCACACTTCCCAACTGTTTGGGAAACTTCATGTGACAAAGAAGTAGATATTTACAATGGATTAACAAAGTATTATAAAGCCAAAATTGGAAGAGTGCAATTTTCATTCATATAAGGATGACTGTACAGATGCCCACAATTGGGCCAAAAAAAGTATTACATTGCTTGACTTGTTCCTGAACAATTATCTTTTTACTCTCTACAAAAGAAAGCAACTCCAGTGACCTGGACATATCAGTCCTCAGGTCCAACAACCTAGCCCTAGAGGTTTGAAGTTGTTCTCGAGTAGCGGCTAGTGGTGTGATTCTGTCAGCTCCTTTACCAGAGCCTCTTTCCTAGCAATGAGTGATTGTTGTTGAGTAAAGGTCTTTGCATGCTCAGATTTTAAAGTGGTGTCCTTGGCTTGAGTTGAACTCATTAAAGCTTGATCTTGGGCAAGTTAATGCTAAGAATTTAATGCAAGCTCCTGGATATGAAGATGTAAGTCCAAGGAGGCCATGACTTGTGAAAATACAATATGTAGAGGAGATTTGTGATACAATAGAGACTTGAAACACAAATCAAACCCTTGTTTGAAGATGTAATTCCTCATAGCTGACAGAGAAAGCATGGAAAAGTTCTTCAGTAGCCTGATGCAAACTTCAATAGTTAAGCATTAAGAGGATGAAGTTTGACTCAAAGCAAATTAACTCATGAAGGACTTAACTAATTGGAGAGGGTCAATGTCAGTAAGCAAAGACATAAAAGCAATAGAAGAAGTCAAAATATGTTGGAGCTCTTGCTTAAATGCCATTAGCTCTAACCTTGTTAACTCAGTAATCTCACCAATACTGGACTGAGGCTGTATATCCTCCACCACTGATACATAACTTTGTGTTTGGGGAGTAGATGCATTGGTGGAATGTGGATTTTCTATGTGAGAATCATCAGTAATAGTTGTAGTTGGTGTGGCCTCAATCATGCCAGCATCAGGCAGAGCTTCAATAGTAGTAGCCCTTAGCAAAGTCTCAGGATTATGAACTTCTAGCAAAAGGATGTTTTCTACTGTTCTTCGAACCAATGAATCCACAAAAGTTAAAGTGATAGGCTTTGTTTGGTTCAACATATTTGGAGCAGGTGGAGGGGTTGATAGAGCATGAAAGGCAAGTGGAGTATGGAAAATCAATTACAGAGGAAAGACTGAAAAGGGTTGTTCAATGTCAACTTCTGGGAGATCTCCACTTGCTTATTGCTCCTTAATGATTCTTGTCAAGATAGTTGAATGTCAAAGGAGGGGTGGCCCTTACATTCTGAAGATACTTTCTTTTGAGCCTATTGCTTGTGGCTCTCCGACTACTCTTGAAATTAGCATCTAAAACCCCAACATCAAGTGAAGGTACCTCGACCACATCTGGAAGAGACTCAATAATTTGTGCTTAAGGTTGAGTGAGAACTTGGGGTTACTGGTAGACATATGGAAGCTCAGAGATATAAGGCTCAAGAGTAGTAGAAGCAACATGAGTAGAAGTACCTTTATCTAAAACAACATAAGAAACACAAAACCTCCAAGTAAGTACATTTGACAGGTATAAAGACCAAGTGCAATCATGAGAAAAAAAAGTTATACCTAATGATACTAAGGTTTGAGTGTGGATTGGAGGAGGAAGAGTTTATGAGGAATGAATTGGAGAAGATGGGGGGTTGATTCTTCTCCTACTTCAAGCACTAATTGAAATAGGATCTTTTAGCTCTTATCCTTCTCCTTCATCTTATTGCTCTTGTGTTGTTTCTGAGACATGAACTGTTGATATTGGCTGGGATGTAGGATGGTAGTATTCGCCACAACCTAAAGAAGTTGTTCTTTTATTTTTTGGCCCTTCTTAGTCACGAGTTTGGCTAAGGCTTCTTGCCTTCCAATTGGAGGAGTTGGTACTGTTAAAATAAAAGAAAAGAAACAAATGGTGAGCATTACTAGCCTATCTTTACACAAGAATGTAAGTATAAGCATATGAATTGGATTTTAGATACTTTGAATGATGTTTACTTGGCCTACTGGAGGTCCTAGTAACCCTTTTTCCAGAGGTGGTGGACATAAATATGGTGTCTACCAATCTGAGTAATCAAAGTAAGAATCCATGAGTATTACCAAGTAAGCTACAAAGAGTTCACAACCTGGGGAAAGAACTTCTAGCTGAAGGGAAAAAGCCAGTTGGTCATCAAGAATAGTTTGTTTGCTTTAGATGTGGGACTGAAAGGAAAAAAGCACAGGCTATTGTGGTCGACAAGGCGCAGAAGAAAATGAAGGATTGTGGCCTGAGGTTTAACACGATGGGCCAAAATGCTTATAAGTATTCAATGGTGCAGAGTTGTTGTATGATGGAGTGGATCCAGGTGTTTATATAGCAGTAGTGGTAGATTATGGTGAGTAGGATGGACTTTTTCTTTACCAAGGATTGCCAATGAATCCTTGCCTGGAAAAGGCCAATGCTATTAGAGCATATTTGAGGCAGCACAAATAGTAGAAGCAGAAATGTCAGGTCAAGAATTTCAGGCCACAGAGAGTTTATAATGAGTCCAGATTTGTAAGGAATCAAGAGGTTAGGACATACTCATATGGCTGGAGAAGAGGCCAGAAGAGGGTATTGTTGCCAGGCCATATAGTGGCCCAGTAGAACCTAGATCAGTCATAGAGTCAGTGTTAGAGAAGCTCAAAATAATCAAGCATCAAGTGCCACCACACTATGGTTGGTAGGGAGTGGTACATCCAAAGTTCCCCAAAGGTGGTTGGAGACCTATGGGGGAAACGAGAATACAAAAGATGAGAGAGCAAAGGAAATTCCATGCAATGATGTCCAGGTTTGGGAGCCAACGCATAAAACCACCAAGGGCTCAAAGCAGGACTTAGTCTAGGGGAAGCGAAGGCGAGGAAACAAATGCTCCAAGGGTTGCAGTGATGCTAACCCTAGGATAGCACGTAAAGAGTTTCTAAACCAATAATAACACGTGAAGAATTTATACCTATAATAGAGGAGGCATTGCTAAGGTAGAGAATTAAAGAATTAGAGAAAAAGATGCAAGTTGATGATGAGGCCTTGAAAGGCAGCCATGAAGTGGCTCTAGAAATGAAGATGGTAGAGCCTCTTGACATAGATAAAGATGAAGTTAAATCTGAGAGTTTTGGAGATTTTAGAGAAAAAATCGCCATTCAATTTGGCAGTTTTCCCCTTACTGATTGCAATGTAGTCATGGCCATTCCTAAAAGGTTTCACGCCAGACTAGACTAGCTAGCACACCCAGTAAGGGATATGGAAGAGTTGACAAAATTTGTGGCCTAGGTAGCAGAACCCAAGGCCAAAGATCAGGTGGTAATGCAAAATCTTGGAGAGGAGTTAATTAAACACCTAAGGCGTTTATATGTGCATGTGTATTTGGATGGAGTTTTCGTCGACATGGTCCTAGTTGATAATAGAGCTATTGTCAATATCCTCCCTTCTAAAACATTGAGAATGTTACGAAAGTCAGTAGACGACTTAATGCCCACTGACATTTCCATTAGTAATTTTGTTAGGGGGGTCTTCTAATGCCAAAATAATAGTTCTAAAGTTATAGATTAGAGCAAGGGTCATGAGCACAACTTTCTTTGTGGTCGATTCCACCCCCGACTACAATCTGTTGCTTGGGAGGGACTGGATCCACTTGAATGGGTGTGTGCCATCTTCACTACATCAGGCTCTCATTTACCTAACTAGTCAAGAAGGAGGCAATCAATGTGAGAAAGATGGTATGGAAGTCTATTGGGCTAATGCCAACCTTTTTGTGGCAAATGTTCACAACATAGAAGCAACACTGTATGAAGAAGGTCTGGGACCAGTTGAAGTAATTTCTAGGAAGGAGCATAACTCTTGAAGAATTTCAAGCTTATATAGATGAAGGGTTTCAACAAATTGGCCAAGACTTGGCCAAACCCAGCCTGATGCAAAGGAGGTAGGGTGAGCCAATTATTAACTGGTTGCTAAACTAGAAAATTTTTAAATGATGAGTGCAGTTATTGATGATGAGGACATTAGTGTAGTTAGGTCTACCTTATTGTTCATAAGTTGAATATGTGATTGACAATAGTCCTTTTAGCTATAAAGAGGTTCAGATGGAACATTTGCAGGCAACACTTGCTAAGTTGGATGATGTAAAGGCTGATGTACAAGATCCTTTAGAAGAGTTTAACTTAGGAAATGAAGCTTGTAAGAGGCTCATCTTTGTTAATGCAAATTTATCTAATAAATATAAAGAAAGGCTAGTTGGCCTTCTTTTTTATTATATGGATTGTTTTGCATGGGATTATAATGAGATGCCTAGTTTAGATAGATGACTGGTTGAACATAAACTTCCAATAAGAAATAATTATGTTTCCCATAAGCAACCAACAAGAAGAATGACCAATGAGATGACTTTATTGGTTAAAGATGAAATTAAAAGGCTACTTAAAGGAGGCTTCGTAAGGACTACCATATATGTTGAGTGCTATCAAACATAGTTCTTGTTATGAAAAAGAATGGTAAGCTAAGAGTTTGCATAAATTTTAGGAACTTAAATACTGCAACTCCTAAGGATGAATTCCCAATGTCTGTGGCTGATATATTAGTAGATTCAACAGCCAATCATAAGATTTTGTCCTTTATAGATGGACATGCTAGGTACAATCAAATATATATCAGTCCAGAAGATACCCACAAAACAACTTTTAGATATCCTGGTGCCTTAGGCACTTTGAATGGGTTGTTATGCCTTTTGTGCTAAAAAATGTAGAGGCAACTTACTAAAGGGCTATCAATCT